AAGTCCACTAGCAAATTTTTCATTTCAGGTACTGTGTTATCAACTCCATACTTTGTGTTTGCTTGATTTTATCATTTCTATCTCTCTATTAATAATCTCTATTTAGTGATCCACCAAGACATATTTTTTAAAAAATTCTTTAGACATGATTTCCTTTAGTATTTTGATCATATTTGTAATAGCCCGTGTGAAATCTTGTCTAATTCCAACATTCAGCCTTCCTCGGGGACAGTTTCTAGTGACTAATTTTTTTTTCTTGTGCATAGGCCATAATTTTCCTTTTCTTGGCAGGCCTCATATTTTTAGAAGGAGTTTTTTTCTTAGAAAATGTAATGTGGCAACTCTGAATATCAGACATATATACACAACTCAGGGTTTGTTGTTTCTGCTGCTTGTTTATTTTGTGACTTTCCTGGACTAATTTTGTAAAGTATACATTTCTTGTAGTGTTCAACCACTGATGTCTCTGCTCAGTTAACTTTTTTATCATTATATTGTATTGATTATGCTATTACAATTGTCCCCATTTTTGGCCGTTTGATCCCCTCCACCCAGCAAACCCTACTCCCTCAGGTAATCCCCACACCATGGTTCATGTCCATGGGTCATGTGTATAAGTTCTTTGGCTACTCCATTTCCTAGGCTGTACTTTACATCTCCATGGCTATTCTGTAACTACCTATTTGTACTTCTTAAACCTCTCACCTCTTCACCCATTCCCCCACACTCCCCTCCCATCTGGCAATCATCAAAATGTCCACTGTATCTATGATTCTGTCTCTGTTCTTCTTGGTAATTTAGTTTTTTATAATTAATTTTTTATAGATATGCATTTATTGCCATTTTACTGTTCATAATTTTGATCTCCATTTTCTTAAATAAGTCCCTTTAACATTTCATATAATAATAGTTTGGTGATGATGAACTTGTTTAGCTTTTTCTTCTCTGGGGAGCTTTTTCTTCTCTGGGGAGCTTTCTATCTGCCCCTTTTTTTTTAAAGCAGAAACTCTTTTTTAAAAAAATATGTATTTATTTATTTATCTTTGATCCTCTGGTTTGCAGACCTGCGCTCAATCCACTGAGCTGCACCAGCCAGGGCTGCCCTTAAATTCTAAATGATAGCTTTTCTGGGTAAAGCAGTCTTGGATGTAGGTCTCAGCTTTCATGACTTTGAATATTTCCTGCCAATCTATTTTAGACTGCGAAGTTTCTTTTGAGAAATCAGCTGACAATCTTATGGGAACTCCCCTGAAGATAACCATTTTTCTCTTGCTGTTTTTCAAATTCTCTCTTTATCATTAACCTATGGCATTTTAATTATGATGTGTCTTGGCATAGGCCTCTTTGCACTGATTTGTTTGAGATTCTCTGTGCTTCCTAGACTTGCATGTCTATTTCCTTCACCCAGTTAGGGAGGTTTTCTTTCATCACTTTTTCAAATAGATTTCCGATTTCTTGCTCTTTCTCTTCTTTTTCTAGCACCCCTATAATGCAAATGTTGGTACACTTGAAGTTTTCCCAGAGGCTGCTTATACTATCCTCATTTTTTTTAATTCTTTTTTTTCTTCTTGTTCTGATTGGTTGTTTTTTGCTTCCTTATGTTCCAAATCATTGATTTGATTCATCAGCTCTACTGTTGATTCCCTGTGAATTGTTCTTTATTTCAATTAGTGTATCCTTCATTTCTCACTGGATCTATTTTATGCTAGTCCTCACTGGATCTATTTTAGTGAGGTCCTCACTAAGTTCCTTGAGCATCCCTATAACAAGTGTTTTGAACTCTGTATCTGATAAATTGCTTATCTCCATTTTGTTTAGTTTTTTTCTGAAGTTTTGATCTTTTCTGTCATTTGGGTCATGTTTCTTTGTCTCCTCATTTTGGCAGCCTCCCTGTGTTTGTTATTTATGAGGCAGAGTTGCTATGACTCTCTGTCTTGGTAGTGTGGTCTAATGTAGTAGGTGTCCTGTGGGGTCCAGTGGTATAGCTTCCCATATCACCCAACTGTATAGTCAAGGTGCACTCTCTGTGTGGGCTGAGTACATCCTCCTCTTGTAGTTGAGCCTTGATTGCTGTTGGCAGGTCAATGGGAGAGATTTACCCAGGCCTGTCAGTGGCAAAGACTGTCTGTGACCACTCACCACCAATCTTTGCCCTGTATGGAGGATCAGCTGTGCAGGAGCCAACTCCACAGAGCAAGGCTTATTCCAACAGAGCTCTGGAGCCCATTTAGTCCACCCCTTGAGTGAATCACTGTGTAGGTGGTTGGCTGGTAGTGCTCAGACGTGGTCTGTAGCTGTCCACTGGGTGTGCACACTCTGGATTTCCCAGGTGGTACAGACCAAGGTCAGTGATTGCCAGTGTTCTGTCTGGGGCCACTTGCCATGAGCTATAAAGTGATCTTTCAGATGGCTGCTACTTTACTAGACTGGGAGATGCCCCAGTGAAGCTAGGCTATGAACCAAGGCCAGCTTCTGCTAATGGCAGGTTTGGGGCCACTTAGTAAAAGGTACAGGGGCTGGAGGCTCACTGAGGCCAGCTGTTGCTTGCTTGACAGGATTTAGGAAGATGTGAAGCATGAGCCAAGACAAGCCATTCACATGGAAAAGCCCTGTTAACAGCTTGGGTGGGCCTGTAATTTGGGTGGGGCAGGGCCTCATGGAATCACCAGGGTAGGGAAAACAGTGTGAGCCGGGTTGATGGAATCTCAGATATGGGACCTGTCTGCTGTTTCTGTGGCACTGTGGTGAGAGGGCTTAGAAAAGGAACAATGGTCTCTGCCCATACTTCCGTCTGGGAGAAAGCTGTCCTCAAGTGCTCACCCTGATGCCAGACACTTCAGTACCTCCCCACATGCCTCTAGTGCCTTCGAGCTGCTATCCCAGTGCTGGGGCTCAGAGAGAGTGAGTCTGAGTAAGTCCATGTTCTGGCCCTTTAAGAGAAGCTACTTGGGAATCTAACAGTTTATTCCACCAACTAAATCCCTGCTGGCTTTTACAGCCAGAAGCTGTGGGGACTTATTTTCCTAGCACTAGAACCCTGGGCTGGGGGCCTGGTGTAGGGCTGCGACCCCTCACTCCTGAGATACCCCTCACAATTTTTAGCCACCACATTTGGTTGTGGGAGCATTTCCATGTCTCCACCCCTCCTACCAGTCTCAATAGATGTAGTTTCTTTTAATCTGCAGTTGTTGCACTTCCATTCAACTCAATTTCTAATGGTTCTGAGTGATGATTTTTCTATAGTTTCATTGTAATTTTGATGTGTTTGTGTGAGGAGGCAAGCCAGGTTTACCTGCACCTCTTCAGTTTGCTTAATAATCAGCTGATGATTGAACAGAGATTTCCTTGAAGCCTTTGAGTCAGGAAATCTACCCTTTGCCAAGGAGCTCGGTGTGTGAGTTGAGGCGTATCTTCAGTGTCAGGCAGTTTACCTCTCTGTCTTAGCCTTCACTTTCTGTTTGCACAGATCCTTGAGGACTGCCAGAACTGAGAGACTTGGGGCCCTTTCAGGTCTTTTCTGATCATGTATGGTCTTTTATATCCCAAGGAATATGTCAGAGCCTTTCAACTCCCCTTTGAAACATCTCATTTCTCAAATCTTTCTTTTAAATTTTTGGCTGGGCTTTTGGTTGTCCCAACTGTTATCACAGTCTTGGGCTGTTGCTGAATAACCAAAGCTGATTATGCTTCACAAACACCTTGGGAAGAGGGATTTTTTTTTTCCCCATGGAGAGAGCTTCAAATTAGATTAAATAATGGTGACGTCCCATAAACGAAGCTTTTCCAGGGAAGCGCAGTACAGGTCAGATATTAACAATGCTCTGGATGGAGCTTTCTGAGGCGCTCCCCACCTGGTCTGTTCCCTTTAATGGCTACAAGGATATTGGTTTTCAATGCTACCATGAAGCTGGGGTTAGAGGGATGGGAGTAGGCCAAGTTCAAACACCACAAATTCCACTGTTCTTACCAAAGTTCAATAGTTTCTCTTTGATAATCCACCTTCAGATGGTTGTTTAGTCTTTGGTTAATATCCAGATATAATATGTATATGACCTTGCCAGTGTTTTACTTGCTTTTTATGGAATAATTGATTTAGAAAAGTCCTTTCTTATAAAGGACTAGAGGTTAGAAAAGTCCTTTCTAACCACCTCTGGTTAGGGACCATTTCTAAGATCAGGCTTCCCTAAGTTGTTATCTACTTACTGGAAATAAGATTCAAGTAACACTCTCTCCCTGGAAGTATCTGAGTTAAAAAAAAAAAAGACACACTTAAAGGAAGAAAAAACTTGTTTTAGGACCCATAAGAATCAACAAAATATTGGGGTGATGTGGGCTCCCAGGACACACACGCAGGCTGGAATGCCCAGCCCAGTGACCTCTTGGTTGCTTCCCCTGGAGCTGCCTTGTACAGGAAAGGGAGCTGCCATGTTTTGAGTATTTCCTCTAAGCTGCAAATTTCATACTCATTATCCTTACAACTTACTATCAAAGAAAATGGTCTTTGTAGATGAAGACCATTTGTAGATGAAAATGGTCTTTATAGATGAAGAAACTGAGGCTCACAGAAGTCAAGTCACATATCCAAGGGTCTCTCCCCCAGGAGATGCTGTCCATCACCCACAAGCTGGGAACAGCAGCAAAGTCACAGGCATGCCTTGTCCCCCACCATAAACACCTGCTAAGGGGGGCTCCCAAGTCAATTTCTCCATTTATTCAGGAGCCAGAGCTCCCATACAGGTCCCCCCAAATCAAGGATGGTGAGAGCAAAGCTTGGTTGTGACTTCAAGGCTGGTAGTGTAAGATGGTCTCCTTCAGGTGCTCGGCAGAATAGAGCACACAGACCTGAGGGCCCAGAGCCCTGGCCAGTCCACTACAAGCCCAGTGTGTATCTGTGCAGGACAGGAGGGCAGATCCCCAGATGCCCCAGCATTCTGACCATCCCCCAACTCCACCTGCTCTCTCTGACTGCAATAAAGGGCCATATTCATTGTAATGTCATTCATAAAAAAAGGGAAGCTTTATTTTGATAGATCAGAAATTGGTAAGGGAATAAGCACAATGACAACAGTGCCCTTTCATATGCTAAATCATCTTCAGATGCGTGATTTCACTGCATCCTCACAACCACACTGCAAGGTGGGTAACTCCTGACTCACTTTACTGAGGACTTGTCGGCAGTGAACCAGCTCTCACCTGGGACTGTAGACACTCCACACAGATGCCTCCCTGTGTCTGATCCAGCTCCTCAATCCCCAAATGGGCAGGGCTGCCACAGGCAAATGTAGGTACCTTAACTTCCTCAGCTATAAAACCAGGGGTCAAGTCACCCATCTCAGATCCTCCTCATCGACACATGTGGGTTCTTGGAGTCCCATGAACCTCGGTACTTATGGGTGCCAAGGATTGCTAGGTCAGTGATGGCTGTGCCAAGTGGCCAGCAAAAGCCTTGACAGCCCTGGGCATGAGAAAGCTGGAGCTAAGCAGAGGAAACTCAAGCCTGCTGGCCATTGCTGAGCCACTGTCTACAGCCAGGCCACCATCAGAGAGATAATTCTGGTGTGGGCGGGAAGAAGAGCTCCTCCACTGGCCCCAACCTGTTGGGTAAGGGGAGGAGCCATCATCCTCTACTCCTTCTCTATGCTCCGCTCATTACCAACCAGGCTTTCTGACTTTTCTACAGAAAGCGGGTGGACTGCCCCTTCTTCCCCTGCAGGGACTGGCTTGGAGCTAGGCCTACTTTGCCACTGACACGGGAAGGCCTTCCCCAGTCCTCAGAGCAGGAGGGCCCCATGCTGAGACTACCCCCTCCACCTCACAACGACACACAGGGCACTTGGCTGTGTCCCTGAAGACCCGCCAGGCGCAGCAGCTGCAGAAGTGTGTGTGGCCACAGGGGACAAGGCAGGTGTCGGCAGCACAGTGGAGGCAGATGGCACACTCTTCTCCTGCCGTGGCTGGAAATGGGGACAACGTAGGTCAGGGGCACGTGTGGTCAAGGAGGGGGCAGCTTAGTCACGATATAGTCACAGAACAGAGAACCAGACAGTTGTGCTGGGAAAAATAGTACCTTGGGAGAAAATGCTCATAATGTAATCAAGTGAAAAAAATTGGTAAGAAAGCCATAATGTACATTACATCTATATCATGAAACTCCTGTGTAGAAAAAAGAACACAAAGCACAAATAGTCCCCCATATATGCATATGACTGGGAAAAACCCACCTAGGAAGCAATGGGAGATTTTTTTTTCCTTTTACTTCTCTTTCTTTATCCCTTAATAATTTTTTTAAAGTCCTGGTTGGCAAAGATGCTACAGTGAACGAGAATTACTTTTGTAAGACGAGCACAAAATAACATCATCTGTTCATGAATGTGAGCAGATGGACGATCATTGTAACCTGGATGATAACTGACGTTCTAGACGGCAGAGATATTAAGCTACTTTTTTTTGTTTTTAAAACTGCACAGCCACCATTGGTTTTAGGTTCCAGTAGGCCGAGCCAAATTGTTTGACCCAAAGCCTGTGATAGACTTGATGGGACTTGAAAGACTCTCCTGAGTTCCCAGGGCTGGGGCCTCCCTGGCTCCCCTGGGGCCAGAGGCCTGGGGAGTCCCAGGTGTTGCAGGAAGCCACTCACCTTCAGAGTCAGAGGGGGTCTCCTCACGGAGGGCCCAGGGCGAGGCTGTGGGCAAGGCACTGGCCGCTTGATCTGGGACAGAGACCGGGGACTCAGGCCTGTGAAGAGTGGAGCCAGGGTGCTCCCGTCCCACCCACCCCCACACCCCCAGGCAGTGCCCATCGCCTGTCTTTTCTGAGTAGCAGCATATGAGCTCTTGGCAGCTCCAAGAGCCCCATCCTCGCTGTTCCTGTCTCTGTTTAACCCAGCAGAGAATTCGTGGGGCTGTGGATCCGTTTTCTTAAACCAGCCTTCCTTTAGACACCTCCTCTTCACCCTGCGGCCACTGTCTGAGTGGAGACCCTCAGCATCACTCAGCCGAGATCCAGCAGAAAGCGGAGCTGAGAACGCAGGCGCTGGGCCCTGTCCTACTCCTACCGAATCAGGCTCTCCAGGGGCAAGGCTCCTGCAGCTGTGACAAGCCCCGTTGGGGGACCAGCCCAGGAATGACAAAAGTTTCTTCTTATGGGTGTTTCTGTATGCACTCGCTCCCCCGAAAGCCACTCTCCTTGCAGGCAGATAGAGGGATAGTCTTGTTTCCCCCACCGACTTGCGCATGTCACCCTTGCCCCACAGGCTGTCTCCCTGCTCACGCCTACCTCTCACCCCGTGTTCCCTCAGCTTGTCACCTTGTTCCCAGTGAACTAACTCCTACCTGGACCACAAATCTCCACTCCCCAATTTCTTCCTTTGTGAAAGGTGATGAGCCCTTTCCCTGATATTTGGGGTGCTGGTCACGTGTTCTTATCATTCTTTAGGAACAATTGCCCTTCCAATGCTTGGGTTTTGTCCCCAGCTCCCATCTTCACACCCGGCACTGGCAGAAGCAAAACTGACTGACTACGAACGAATAGTTCTCCCCTGGCTCTGGATTCGGGTGGAGTACCTCCTGAGCGTCCGCCTCCCCCCAGGGGCGGTGCCTGGTCCGGACAAATGGCCTCGCTCAGCAGCTCGATGGCCTTGGTGGTCCCGTACACGTCCATCACAGCCCAGAGCGGGGCGCCCACGGGCACTCTCCTGCGCAGCAGGAGCCTCCGGCCCCTGTTGACCTGAGCGCACAGCCGTCCGTGGCGGCTCACCCAGAAGCTAACAATGTCCCCGGCCAGTGCGCAGCCATCCGGCAGCAACGCTGCCCACGTCGGGCTCTGCTGCTCCAGGTCAGGACACACGAAGGGAGGCAGGCTGGGCGCTGGCACATGCGCAGGGTTCAGACGTGTGAAGCCCACGCGAAGGCCACCGTGCCAGCCGCTCTCGTGCCCCAGCACGCGTAGTGCCACGCGCTCCCCGGGCTGCACGGGCCGCTGGCTGAACACGATGCCGTCGTGGAAAGTGGCAAGTCGGTAGGCAGTGATCCGCTTTGCGTCCAGGATCACCTGTGCGCCCTTGGCCTCCGGGTGGAAGCGAAGGATCTCCAGGGGCTCCTCGGTATCTGCGACTGGCAGGGGGTTGTCAGTGAGGGACGCCCGGGACCCACCGACTCATCTGGCCACCTTGACCTTTCCTTCTCCCCCACAACTACCCCCACCCGAATGCCTCAGCATCCTGGGGCAACCTTGACTCTTACGGGGAGGGCATTGCCACCATCCCCAGCTTCCCCAGGGCTACGACCCCCCACCCTGGGACCCCTGGAGACCTGCCTAGAGCTGGCAAGAGTTCACTGTGTCTGGGGGCAGAGTTCTGTGAACCCCCTGGAGCCCGAGTCCCCTGTTGGTGCCGTATTTCCTCTTGTCTGACTTTCTGATCTTCCCACGAAGAACCTGTGTCACTTGTGAAGGCCAGTCCCCCAGTGAGGGTGACTTCCCTGCCCGGGGAGAGAGGTGGTCCTGGTAGCTCCCCTCAGGTGGGGACACTGGCTGGAAATGGGGTCTCGGGTCATGCCCTCAAGGCCTGGGGTGAGCCTTGAAATCAAGGGACTTCCTGACCGGATTCTACTTGGCAGCTAGGAAGGGGGAGTAGCTTGCTGGGCAGCCCTTCATCTCAACTCCAGTGGCCTGGGGGAGGCCTGGAGGAAGCTGGAGAAGCTTCCTGCGCAGGACTGTTCTTAGCCAGCTCCCCCTAATTTACCACTTCCCTCCTCCCCTCCCACCTACCCTCCTGGCCCTGCTCTTTCTGGGTTAGATGAAGGAGCCTGAAAATAAAAAGAGGTAAGTTCATGAACCTGAGTGAGACCCCAGCCCAGAGGATTCCCCGGGTACCTGAATGTGAAGAGTTAAGTGCCCACCTGGGCAGGCACTGGGCTGGGGTGGGTGGAGGCAGCTAGGAGTTCCTGATGTAACCAGCCAAAACCCACCTGGGCAGGTGCAGGCCGCCTTCCCCACCCTACCTAGGCTGGCTCACCGTCCATTTCTGAAGTAGGGGCTGGAGAGAAGCCCTGGCATGGGCTGGGTGAGGGTGATGAGAGGCACGCAAGCCGTCCCCACATGATGTTCATTGCTGCCACCGCTCCGCAGACAGTGGGCACACAGCCTCCAGCTCCACAGGGCAGAGGCAAAGAGGGATTGCCTCAGCCCCTACAAGAAAAGGGACCCCACCTTGGGTTGGTAAAACAGAGGACCCCTCATACTCAGCTCCTCGGGCTGAGAGGGTGCCCTGCAAAGATGAGCCTGTCCTGGCTGGAAGCTGGCCCCCTCCCTCGGGGAGGGGCAGTGGATGGAGTTTCCACCCCATTCCCTGTTCAGCTGCCTGGACAGAGGCTGGCTCAGGCAGAACTGACTCTGGGGGCAGGAGGTGAGTAGGGGGAGAAGGAAGGAGAAGGAGAGGAGCCAGGGAGCTGGCCGACTGGCAGGCAGAGCAGGGAGGAGGAGGAACTCCCAGGAATGGCCTTGGTGGTTGCATGAGTTCCTCGCAGGATGGGAGGGGCGGGGCGGGCCTGGGGACCCTGGGAAAGCAGGCTTCGTCCTGGACAGGAAGGTGACAGTCTGCAAAGCTTGCCCATCCCAGCCTCAGAGCTTCCCAGCAGCCCGTGGGGACGATGTGCTCTCCACGTCAGAGGAGAGAGGCTGAGAGGACACCCAGCCGCACAGGTCACAGGCAGCCAGGGGCCTGGAGCACCCTCGGGTCAGCTGCATGCCCAGGCTTTCCAAACGAACAGTCTCACAGCCCTTCGTGATGGCCTGAGTGTGGCCCCTGCGAGGTGCTTCTGGGAGGGAGGCCAAGGGCTCCAGAGTGCCTGAGGGACTGCGTGGCCCACCAGGGCCCATCGTCTGCCCTGTGTCTGGAGCTGGCCCACAGTGGCATAAAAGGTGTGAGAGCCCACCCCATCCATGCTCTCCTGTGCTGCCTCCTCATGGCCCCACTGGCGCCTGGGATCCAAACACAGTTGCCAGAACAGCAGCAGTGGTGGCTGGGCCCCTGCCCACCCCCAGGCTCTTGGTGTCACCTGCTCTTGGTGTGAGAGCCAAGTGCTCCTGTGGGGTGGGTGGGTGCTGGTGGGGAGGGGTCTCTTTGCCTGGGAGGGAAGTGTCCATAGATGTGCTGTCATATCTGCAGAGGTGAAAACCCAGGTTCTCCATCTTTGCCCCTCACACCAAGGAACACCGGCCTCTGGGGATGTGCACCTTTTGACTGCTGCTGCCTGCAGTGCTGTAGGCCAGCAGGCGGGCTGCAGAGGCCCCTAGTTTGAGTGAGGAAATGGAGGCCCCAGAGAAAAGTGACCTGGCCCAGGTCCCACAGCTCAGCTTTCATAGCTGGGACCCCTTGTCTTCCACCAGGCCCCCAAACTCCATGGATTTCCACCCAGCCGGTCTTTCCATTGTGCAGCAGGGTCTGGAGGCAGCTAGGCCATGTGTGTCAGCTGGTCACTGCATGGATGCCAGACTTAGTCACTGGCATCTGTTGGAAACTTGCAGGGACAAGACGCTTACAACCTCACTGCCTCACTACAGCAGCTGGTGAGCTCGGTCTGTATCAGGAAGCTCTTTCTGAGTGATGTTTACATGGACTACACTGCTGCTTCTGGACCTGTCCCCCAGCAGTGATCCAGAGCCTCCCCTGCTTCTTGCATCCCCCTGTCTAGGGACCAAGCACACGGCTCCTACTTACCAGCCTGGTAGCAGAGTTGGGAGCCCATTGGCCTGGGCTTCTCAGGCCCAGGGTCCCTGGTCTGGAAGGGATTATCTGAAGAAGCCAGTAGATAGGTTTCCTGAGTGAGCTCCCCTGGTCCCCTTGTTTTATAGTCTGGGATCTGGTTACAGGGTTGATGATTAATTAGACATTGATGTCATAAGTTAAAATTCCCATGGAATTTCCTGGTGTTTCTCAGAGCAGCAGGTCTGCCCAGCTGGCCGGCCTGAGGGAAGCAGGACCGGGGATGGCCCAGGTGGGGCTCAGGGTAAACTTTTCACCCACTTTCAGGCAGCCACTCCCCTGAGGCACGTGCATAAGTGCCTGTGCCCATACCTGACCCACAGGCCCTGATGTCAGTGGCCTGGGCTGGGGCCCACATTGGTCATTTTCAAAAGCACCTTGGTTGATTCTAACCTACAGTCAGGGTGGAGATTCACCCACACACAGAAGACACTTAGTCAGTGTTGCTGAAGTAAGCTAACTGAGTGTGCTGCATCCCAGGACTTGTGGAGTGGCCCTGCCCAGGTCTTCACAGAGAGGAGGTGAGATAGGTGGAACAGGAGGGTATGACTGCTCCCTACCCTTGCCGGGGCTGGAGTTCTACTCTCTAGAGTGCACTCCAAGGTGCACGTCATTTCCAGAAGGTGCGGCCAAAGGCCCGGCCTCCGGTGCATCAGCTGTGACAAAGGGGCCAGAGAGCCTCTGCCCTTCCATTTCCACGGGGACCTGGAGCCTGCGGGCGGCCAGTGGCGGGCTCTCACCCAGCACTTTTCACATTTTGATACACACATCAGTCTCTTGGAGAGCTTACTACATGCAGATTGAGGCAGAAGGTCTGGGCAGGCCCGGCAGCACCGTGCTTTCCTAGCAGGGTGGTTCTGCGGACCCTACTTCAGAGAAAGGCCCTGGCTTAGTGTGGAGGCTTGTGAGTGCCCTGGTCTCCATTTCCAGGCTAAGCCCCTCCCAGGGCCTCAGGTCAAGGCCATGATCATGACTTCTCTGAAAGCGGCTAAAGGGACAGATACTCCCAAGCAAGTCCCTGGCACAGCAGGGTGTAGCGGCGCTGCGCCAGGGCAGGGGAGGCTGTGGGTGGGGAAGGAGGAGGCCTAGGAGCCCCAGGCTCCACCTCTTGTGTTCCTTGCCCTCCCTTGTCCTCTCTGTGCCCCGGTGTCCCCATGTGTAAAGCAGGAAGCCAGGATGAGATGATCCTTGGGACCCTTCTGGCCCCAGTGTGCTATGACTTTAGTCTTGATGATGGAGAGGTGACAGCAGCCTGGCCCCAGGTGACTTCAAAAGATGTCGCTGCCACCTTGGGCCTTCTCTTCCACACCATGCACCCTGCCAGGCTCCCTCAGTTTCTCCTCTAGAAGCAAAGGCCAGAGGCAAACTGGTGAGAGGCCAGCAGCATTCACCATGAGTCCAAGGCTGATGGGTCCAGCTGGTCCAGACTGAAGCAAGGACCCGTGGTTCATGGACCCGCTGGCCCAGCCTGGGCTATCCAGGCACAGGGCAGCCCCTTCTCTCTGGGTGCTGTGTGGCCCAGAGATCCTGTCTCCTCCCTCTTCTACACATCTGAGCATTTACTGATTATCAACATCTTCCCCGTTCAACTGTGCTGACACACAGTGGGAGCTTTATGGGCAGTTGCTGACTGGTAGCTGAGTGTGAATTGGAGGCTGCCTCACAATACAGCCTGCACCCTTCCCTCTCCTCCAGGCCACCAGCAGCACGAGGCTGTCCTAAATGTTTGTCCCAAGAAAGACGGTGACTAGCCCTCTGCAGGAGGCAGCCTCTGTCATTGAGATGGCCCCTGGTGGCTGTCCCCAGTACTGCAGGATGCGTGGAAGCCCTCAGAACTAGCAGGGGCGCTCCCAGGAGTGGAGGTGCTGGGAGCTGAGGTTTCTGAGGCCTCTGCACCTCCTCAGCTCCCCACATGCCTCCCTCCCTCTGAGTGTCCCTTCACTGGCAGGCAGTTTGCCCAGGACCCCACCCGTTCAAAGGGTTTCACAGAGGTCAGCTCCTAAGATGCCTTTAGTACTGCGAGAAGTTGCTGAACGGCTGTTTCAGTGCCCATCATACAGCTGAAGAAGCTGAGGGCTTGTCCATGGTTTGTGCCAGCCTGCGGCCGAGCGGAAGTGGAAAGCCATGGGCACCCAGCCCAACTTGGGACACTGAGATCCCAGCCCCTGTGCTGCCTGCCATCAGGGCTCTGGGACCCACCTTATCTTACTTGCCTGAGCTCAACTATTCCTGAAATATCAGAGGGCAAGGGGTTGCCACGCCGGGAAACTGAGCCCCAGAACAGTCGGGGTCATGCTCGCAGTAGGTGGATGGCAACGACGCGTCAGTGTCCAACAGTGCAGTGTGGCAGATCGACAATTGCCCACCCTCCTGCCTGGTGAATGACTCAATGATTCCACTCCTTAAGCGAATGCCCAGCAGGCTCAGGGGCCAATGGCTACAGAGACTGCTACCGGGCTGTCGGGAGCAGCGTTGTTTGTGACGGCTCCAGAGAGAAACAAGCCCAGCGCTGGTTGTGCTGGGTGCTGCGGCGATGCGCCGCTCAAGCCGATTTCAGGAATGAAGGCCTGGGCCCCTCAGAGGCTGGGCCGCTGCCCTCACGTAGTTTTGTTGCAATTGCACTGCAGTCCAGGCTCCCCGCTCTGTCCTGTGTACACAGGTGTGGGTCCTCGGAATGAGCTCCATCAGTAACCTGTCTCAGGGCCGCTCCCCACGGCACGCACCTCCCACTCCCACCTACAGAGCGTGGAGAGGGAACCCGCCATGCACTCGCAGCCTGGCACTACAAACAAACCACTGCTATCCACAACAGCTGGCCAGACCCCGCCGCGGGAGCCTGGGGAGATCCAAGCAGCACCCACCGCAGGCCTCCATTCATGTGGAGTTAAGAAACAGGGAAACTAATCTGTGCTGTTAGAAGTCAGGATAGAGCTCACCTTCCCAAGGGGCACAGGGGAACCTCTGGCCCTCCTTCTTCATCAGGTGGCATGTATATACAGAAAAATTTATTCAGCAGGACCTTCAAATTGCATCTTAATGTCAATTGCATCTTAATTATATATTAGCTAAATTCCCTTCCAGCCCTAAAACTCTCATTCTGAGTAGCTCAATGGAAAACCTGCTCTGGAAGCCAGGTCACTTAGCCAATACTGCCACCTTGAGGAAAAAACCGGAACTGATCGTTTCCCTCATACCCTGGAGGAAAAAGGTCAGGGCCACACAGGCTCTCCCACCTGTGTCCCCATCACTCACTCCCCTCCGTGCCCGTGAGCCCTCTAACAATTCTGCAGGTCCACCAGATCCTCTGGGTCAACAGCTGGATCTACACCCTGGGCCTTGGGGGGCAGAGAGCAGGAGAAGGAGGTCAGGGTATGCCAACAAAGTAGCCAGCCACTAATTAAGTCTGTGAGGCTACTTTCAATCACCCTGCTGGCCTGTCTAGATCCTCCTGGGCCCTGGTTCCACTGTGCCCCTCCACTGTCCTGAGTGCCCTGGTTCCTGACTTGCCAGCAACCAGAGCGCCTCCCTCAGGGTGTGAATGTGGAGCCTGCCAGGGAGGGGAATTGGAGGAGGGGAGCTCACCTGGCTGCTCAGAGGTGAGGGAAGGGAAGGGGGGGTGCCCTTTCCCTTCCCTGTTTCCCTTCTTCCTCTGCCCTACTTACCCCATACACATCTGTCAGAGGGTTTGTTCTGGGGAGACTCTGGCATCCGCGCTGTGTGTGTGTGTGTGTGTGTGTGTGTGTGTGTGTGTGTGTGTTCAACAGAACTCTCCTGAATACCTACTGTATGCCAAGAACTGTCCAGTTTCTGGGTAGGCAGAGATTGAAGAAAATCCAGTCCTTGTCCCTCAGTCAATTCAATTCCACCCTGGCATTTAGGTCAGTGCTACAAGAGGGCCAAACTGTGGACTGGAAAAACATGGGTGCAGCGAGGGCTTGTTATGCCCAGGAGATGGGTGAAGGTTTTGTGGAGCAGCAGATCTTAAAATTGATCTGGAAGGATAATTGGGCTTTCAAAAGCGGGAAAGGGGACCTCCGGCCAAGATGGAGGCGTAGGTAGACACACTGTGCCTCCTCAAACAACCAAAAGAACAACAACAATTTAGAAAAAGAAAA